GCTTACAAATAGGAGCCTTCCATGGTTGTCCTCCAAGAGATTCAACAAGCAGCAGACTGAAACAGATGCATATAATTATAGCCAACCATTGGACTGAAGTTGGGGACCCCTGTGGCTGAATTAGAGAAAGACTGGAAGAACCTGAGAAAGAGAGCAACCCCATAGGAAGACCTGCAGTCTCAACTAACTCTGAACCCTGAGATCTCTCAAATACTGAGCCACTAACCAGGCAGCATACACAAGTTAGTCCAAGGCACACATACAGCAGAGGACTGCCTGGTCTGACCTCAGTGGGAGAAGATGCACCTAACCCTTGAGAGACTTGAGGCCCCAGGGTGTAGGTGGGGTGGGGGTACATCCTCTTGGAGACAAAGGGCAGGAAGAAAGATGTGAAGAACTGTGGTAGGGCAAAATGGGAGGTGGGCAACGACTGGATTGTAAAAAATAAATAAATAAATTAAATAAATAAATAAATGTATTTTTTTAAAAAGCTTTAAATGAGTCACAAAGGAGTGTATGGAAGATAGATAAATATATAGATGTGAAAGAACTAAAGGATCTGAATAATAAGATAATGCTGACTAGACACTTAAATCAAGCTACTTTCTTATTTTTAAGTATTCATGGAGATAGTATATGTGACTATATATTTTATATACACTTGTATGATACTTAGGTTTAAATTAAAATATAATTATGTCACTGCCCTCTTTCTTTCCATTTCCTTTCCTTCCTCTAATTCTTCCACTGTGTCCCCACCTGGCTCCTTCTCAAATTCATGGGTTTTTTTTCTTTGTTATTCACACACACACACTCCAGAAATATAAAAATATAGAAATATTATTTTCTCAGGCTGTTTAGTATTACTTGTATGCATATGATTTCAGGGCCTACCACTTGAGGCTCAACCATGGAGAAGTCTATTTCTATACTCTCAGTATTCCTTAGTTGTCTATAGTGCTTTCTATAGGTTATAGGTTATGGAATTTCCCCTTTCTTGTTAGCAAGTTTATTGGTGCTGTGTTTTATCAATTCTTGTTTTGCAGAAATATTTCTAAAGAATGATGGGTTAAGCTTCCTTGTTGTTTCTAGAAGACATGATCTCACAGTAGATTCTCTGGTCCTCTGCCTCTTACAATATTTGTGTCCTCTTTTCCATGATGTTTGCTGAGTCTTAGTTACAAAGTTGTGTTGTAGATATAGCAACTGTGACTAGGCTCCCCATGATCAGTTGTTCTTTACGTTTTGGGTGGTGGTAGTTTTCTGTAAATTTCTCTTTCTATTCCTTAGAGAATATTCTTTGATGAGGGGTGAGAACTACACTTATTGGTGAATATAATGATAAGTATTAAGAGTGCAAATAGGAATTATGATGGTTTAGTAAAATGGAGGTAGTAGGTTCTCTTCTTGATCTAACTAGTCCTAGATAGTTATCTAGGTTTACAGTACCATACATGATTACCTTCCTGAAGAATGACCTTTAGTCCAATTACATAGAAATTGGCTACCACCAATATAGGAATGTTCCACTATTGGACCTTTACAGACATCAGAGAAATGTTTATTAAAACTGCTGATTAAGACTCCACTTCAACCTAGTCAGAATGGCATCAACAGGAATACAAACAACAACAAGTTTTGGAGTGGACTTGAGAAAGCAGAGACATTAAGAACTGCTAGTTGAAGTGTTCAGTATTGTAGCCAGTTTGCAATTAATCTGTTGACTTCTCAAAACAACAGAAATAGAACTACCACATAAACAGACCCTTCTATATCACTCTCAAGCATCACCAAAAGAACTATCACACTAACAAGAAACTTTTTATATGCACGTTCTGTGCTCCTCTTTACACAACTAGGAGAGATGGAATAACCTCTAGATGTCAGCTTTTCCTCTCCAAGCTAACTGATTCAAACTGGCTTCTGTTGGATTCTGACTAAATTGCTCTCTCCTTGACTCCAAACTAACTCTGGCATTCTGTTCTAATCTTTTGGCTCCTTCTGATTCTCTGGCTCATTCTGTCTTCACCTGTAACCTGTTTAATTCAGCCATGTTGCTAGATTAAAATTTTTCCACAATATCCAAGGGATGCACAGAGCTGAGAAAATAATATCAAATTAGAAAAACATGAGCCTCATGGTGAATAGTTGTTATATCATTGCCAGATAAATGTGGCTCAGATTCTTTCCACTACTAAAGTACTGCAAATTGACTTTACAGGAAAAAAAAAGAGAGAAAAGAAAGACAGAAATACAAAAAAGCTATAAAAATTCTTCTGTCTACATGCAATCCTGAGGATTGTTCTGATAACACAGTTTCCCTCAGATTATCATTCCCTCCAAAAGAATTTGGGTTGTGCAGGAGTCTCTACTTAGAAAATGAAAAAAAGTTTCATTTCAATATGAGATCAATCTTGACAAGATACATTTAGAGAGAGGGAGAGAGAGAGAGAGAGAGAGAGAGAGAGAGAGAGAGAGAGAGAGAGAGAGAGGGAGAGGGAGAGGGAGAGAGAGAGA